AAATTGATATCGTGTTTACGTGAACATGCTGCTTGGGCGACGACCCACTGCAATTTTGCCTGATGAACACCTGTGAAAAAGCTGAGATGCAGCATCTCTGTTTTTGCAGAACGTTGTATGTTATAATTGACAATCATTGGTTGAGAGATGTATGGCATACCGTTTCGCGCAATGAAATGCATAATCAAATTGTTACATAACAAAAACTTTCAGAGTGTCTAAAAATTTGCGCATGCATATGGCACAGCTGAACCTTATTTTTCTTTCATTCATTGGATTCCATAGCTTTTCACTACACGTCACGAATAAATAAATGAATAAATAAGTAAATAAATAAACCTTGGTCTCATAGCAAAAATATGGCCATCGGAAAACAGTGCTCCGATGTTGAACAAGATACTAAAGTAATCAAGATTGCAGTATTTTGGAACTGAAGCCGTCATTTAAGTGTTAAAAAATAACGTGGTCAAAGTGGAATCAATTGAAGGATACCCTGCGCAGTCTTTGATGCACGTGCAGAACACCCTGACATTTCTCTCTTCGAAGTTAATTTCCAAGTGAAGGCAATGCTAAATCTATGCAATGTGTTCTTGAAATTCTCTCAAGAGAAGGGGGCTAAAATCGAAGGGATGAATGACACACAAATACCCTTGACCCCACCTTGAATCATATCCATTGGTGGAAGGCTCTATCCCCACCTCCACCGGATACATCCTACGATTGGGGGTACTTGTGATGGTCTCGTCCAGGAAATACTTGCAACATCTGACGCTGTGGGAGGAGCCGGAGCAGCTGGTGTCGTTGAAGGAGCCACAAACGCCTTGCAAGAACATGCCTTTGGGAGCGCAGGAAAGCATATCCCCGGCGTCGCCGCGTAGATTCTCGCAGTCAGTGGATGTCAGGGTCCCCTCCGTCACCTTGCAGCACTCGATTTCTGTGGCTATGTTTTCGGCGCAATCGTTATGACCTCCATGTCCAGCTCCACAAGTGAAGGTCATGATCTACCAAGAGACAGAAAAAAGCCGTTTTGACGTAGATTTCACGTAAGCATTGCTCGAAAATACGCAGAGGCCTTTTCTTCAGATGAAGGACACTAATGGCGGTTTTGCAGAGAGTAGGAGAGGATGACTCATCTCTCACGGTCCAGTGCTTGCCGAAGCGGGAAAGTTGGAATTTCGAATTAAAATTGCAAGCACTTTCATTCCGTTAGCAAGACATTCAAGTTTCGCCCTAATAATTGACGCTGACTTTTTCTGTTGTCATAAAGCAGCGGAATAGAGAGAACAAGCAGAGATAGGACGAGATAGTACGCATAGGATCTCATTCCTCCTAAAAGAAGCTCCACCATGAAAAGGAGAGGGAGAGGGGGGGAGAGAGAGAGAGAGGACCTCATTCGGATCGCAGTCCAAGGCATTCCCAGCACCTTCAGGGAGAGTCCTGCAGCTCGTTGGGTGCAGGCCCAGGCACTGACTGACCAAGAGCAAACCGATTGCAATCCCCACCAAGATTCCGCGAACGTGCATCTGATGGATGAAAAAAGGGCAAAGGTTGCAACATCCGCCTCGACGTTTTTCAACGGCTGTCCATCAGATGGCAGACAGTCGAAGACGATTTTGTCAAAGGTTGTTAAGCATTAAACTGGAAATAACTTTAACTGCAACAGTTACTGCTAGTTGAAGCCACGAATCAAGGATTGGTAACGAAAACTCATCACTAAGTAACTCATCGTGAAATGTCAGGAAAAGGAGAACTGTGAAAATGTTCCAAAAGAAGTGGAACACTACATCCGCTGTCTGGAGGAGCCGTTTCAATTCGTCTATTCACTTACCATTACCATGAGTCTCACCTTATTTCCGATGGAGCATGACTGGGAAANTGACCTGCACATGTATATTTTCGAGCATATTTTCTGAAGAAGCCTTGCATAGATTTTCATCCGTAGTCGTGTAAAGTCGGGAACTTCAAGGTCATCTAGTGCAACATTCAATATGCGTAGATGGTTTCCCAAAAATGCAGTTAAAATAAAATTCGATGTTGAAATTCGATCTTAAAATTCTATTTTGTAGTTAAATTCGAAATTGTTATTCGAGACGATGTTGGTTTCCGGTGGACGGGATGGAATTAATGGTGCAAATGAGAGACCCAACCTGGAAAGGATTGTCATAACAGGAATGCAAAATATGAGAATCCTGGAAGTAATTCTCAGAATCACTTCACGAGATATATGGTTTAATTTCCCCGAGCAGATCGGTCGAGCATCTCAGATGCAGTAGCTTGAAGGCCCGGGAATGTCTCTATTTACGGCACAAGTGGAATTTTTTTTTTTTTTTTTTTTTACATATTTCCCAATCGTCCAGTCCAGCCTGATTCCTTATCATTTTCCCATCGTCGCGATATTAAAGGACTGATATCATCCATCACGGAAAAATGCACGAAAGACCAGCCTCTCCAACTTTAAAACCCAGCAATCCGCGATAAAAGTCGATTGCCACCGCTTTTTCTTCAAAGAAAACTGTTTCTGTACCGTTAAGATTCATGAGCGACATCCTTAAATTTTACTAGAAATATTCTGTGCTCTCTCCACTCTTGATTCACTCCAACAAATTTTCATGTAAATGAAATACGTCTTACCTTCGAGTAACCAGTACTAAGGGTTAGAAGAATGAAAATTGTCTACCCTTTGAATCAAAGCTACTTCTAACGTAACAGAGTTAGCTGAAAGTTATGTATTCGAAAAGTTATCCTTGCTGCCTTCCCAAGCAGCATGTTCACGTAAACAAGATATCCATTTTTTCCAAACTATGTAAATTTCTTGCGATTGCCATGAAAATGACATCACGTTTACGTAAAATTTACGTTCCTATATTTACGTCACCAAAGTATACGTGTATTTTACATCAACTAGACGTCACTCCATCTGACGTGAAGTACATGATATCAAGTTTATGAAAAATTAACACCATACCATCCATATGAAACTTTAGCTGACCATCCTGCAGTTGCAGTACCAAGATTCCTCATTAGATGGAACCCTCGTTCCCTGCATCCTACAATTACTATTAAGTACCGGTTTTCCTGATCTAGTATCAGGTTTTCTTACCATCCTTCTACTTTTTATTATGCAATCCATGAATATATATATGGAAAACATGAAATTATTACATATTTTTTCATAATATATGACTCGGGGAATCATTAAACGCTGAAGTTAAGCATTTTATTACAGCAGTGCACGTGATTAGGGAAGAGTAGCATCCCAGCCCCATAAGTATCTTCTCTATCCTAAAAGGAAGAGAGATCCTTTGAACAACTACTTCTTCTCCCGAGGTTCCAGTACGGGAGGAGGAAGCAGTAGGTCACTTTGGTACTCTTGAGTGCTGGTGAGGATGAGTACTCGTGTATTCCAACCACCCTAGAGTTCTGAAGAACGTAAAGGAATAGGAGATTCGGTATTCAATTCTCTTCAATGGTACAGATTGTCTCTTTAAATACGTATGAATGCCAGGGGAAAATTAACATAAATCTTACGTAAAATGAATGTAAACATGCTGTTTGGAATGCAAACAGGAATGTGAATTTTCCGCAAAATTTACGTAAATTTTATATCACCGTTTACGTATCACAGAGGTGACATTTATGCAAACATGTTGACATTTTCTTGACAATGGTTTGCGTAAAAATGATATAAAATGGACAAAAAATTTACATTCATTTTACGTAAAATTAACATAAACATGCTGTTTGGGTTTGTCACATTTAGACATTTGGATTCGTGCCTAAAAGTTATGGCTGTTCAAGTAACACCGGATCGTTTAATGAATATGAATGAACCTTTTAATAAAGACATTGCCCTCTTGCTGTGGAGCGAGAGATTTCCATCTTTCACCGTAAAGGAATTCGCTCTTTCAGCCAAATTCAAGACCGTGTACAGAAGCAGAAGTCTTCCTGATCTATCTAGGATCGCTTTCTTCCCTCTTACCGGATTGTGTGATGGAATCGGTAAATGGAAACTTCCTTTACTTCCGACATTTTCCCATGGAGTCGCCTTGGGAGTTGAACCTTCCTCCTAACAACTCCCATTCCAGAGTTTTATGGAGACTCCTTAGACTGTGTTGCCTCTTTAGACCAGTTTGTTGAAGAATTCAAATGTCTTCTCTTGTGCTGCCTGCGTGGAAAGGCAGTTTCCGTAGTTCGGGCATCTAGGGGAAACTAATAGAGAGCTGTGTCAGGTATGGACTCGCAAAAGCGGCTAATTTGGCGCCATCTAGCCCCAGTCGTGTGAACCTCTTCTGTGCTCTTCTGCTACGTTTCACGTAAGCATAATCATCATTACTAGCCGACCTGTGGAAGACTTCCACGAACTCTTCGCTTAGAAAACCCGAGTTCACTCGGCTGCCCTAAAACTCAGTGACCCTAAAACTCAGTGACATCGCTATAGGCAGCAGCCCCTCTTTCTCATTCTTAACGTGTCCCGACGTGGAACCCATGGAGTACCCTTTCATCCCGTTGAAGGGAGGATGACACCCTCGCCGGGGTGAGATCTTCGCCCGAACATTTATCGCCACTTTTTCCTATTAATAACAACCCTGTCCGCTTCGTCCGTAAAGACCATCTCCATCACTTTGCGTGTAAGCCTATGAGTGAAATATACGGATATGGATACGGGATGGTAACTATAGTTATACCCAACCGGCGGCATCCTTGCGATCCAAGAATAAACTATCCCGTTCTGTCCCACCCTGATAGGATCCCGCCGCTTTCACCCTCTGGAGTTACTCTCCTTCGCACGGAGGAAAACGGGACTCCAAGTGTTGTGCGTGGGTTTTCTCGTGTGAAACCTCATATTGAGGTGTGAACACCCCCGTAGTTTTAGGGAGGGGGGGGGGGGCTGCGCAAATCGTAAAATGACACTCCTACTTTCAAGAACGGATCCGACTGTTGCGAAGGTCGGAGAGAAAGTGCGAGGGTGAGACGGGCATCCCAATCCGCGGATGTCTTCCACGAACTGTTTCTCGAGAATTTCCGAGCTCGGTCAGCAGCCCTAAAACTAAGCGATATAAAGCAGCACCACCTCCATATCGTTCTTGAGAATGATCTGTGGGAGACTTCCACGAACTTCGGGTCGGTCTAGGCCATGGGTGTCAAACTGCCGGCCAACTATCTGATTTCGTCCGGCCTGCAAAGTCCTCCTCAAGACAGTCTACGCTTCTTCAAGGGGGAGGGACACGGGGAAAATTGCCCATTTTGCCCCCCTCCCCCCTCTCTACGGTCCTGAACATAGTCGGGAATCCATGAGTTCAGTCAGCACTTTAACACTACGCGGCAGCCGCTCTCTCTCCAGTTCTCGAGAACGAATTCGACAGTCGCGAAGACTCGAAAGAAACTGCTCACTCGAGAGCGAGACGGAGACCCCAACCTGTGGAAGACATCGCAAACTCTGGGTCGGCATAGGCTAAGAGTGTAGCATTTTCGGATATCCACGAGTTCAGTCAGCGGCTCCATGAACGCTCTATGCAACAGCCGCTGACATTGTACATCTTGCGCATCTCCCTCCCTCTTATTCACGGGGGTGTCCACGTCTACGATACGGACTTTTATCGAGCGGCACTCTTATCCCGTATCGACCTCGACGATGTGCGTATCGTCGGTGAAGTCCATCTCCACCACTTTTCATGATGGCCTATGAGTGAAAAATACGCTAGAGAAACGGGATGGTTACTACGCGGCCGACGGCGTCTTTCCGATCCGAGGGTTCCTGTTCCATAGAGGTGGGATCCCGCCGGTTTCACCCTCGGGAGTCACTCTCCTTCTGAGAATGCCGATCAATAAATGGACGGGGTTTCTGATCGATGAAGTGGTGGAGACCCCGATAATTATATGATCTGATAATGAGACCTCATCCGGGCGAGGAAGTCATCCTTCCTAAAGGGATGAAAGGGGGCTCCAGGTGTAACACGCGGGGACGTTTTACCCATCCCTGCTGAAAAGTCCGTATCGGGGGCAGGGGACGTGCGTAGAATGCATCTCTCCCGTTGTCGTATTAGGGATGGCATGGAAAGGAAAATTCGATGCACTTGGCTCGGTGGTGTAGTAGAAAAGTACCTGTCTGCCAATTAGGAGGCTCCAGGATCGATTTCCGCCGCTCCATTGTTTTTTCTTTTGTTGTGCCATCTGAACTCTTCCCCCCAAACCCCTTCGGGCAACGAAGAAGTTCTCGAGAAGGGATCCGACAGTCGCAATGGCCGGAGGGAAACTGCAAGCTCGATAGAGCGAGACTGACACCCGGAGCCAGGCAGAAGAAGGCTGCTTCACAGGATTCATGCCGGTCGGAAGTGCCACATCCAAAAATGTTTTGAGTATACTCGAAACATTTTTCTTTCTAATTTGTAAAGTATATATCCCATAGATTCCAGATTTTGTGGGTATCTTGTATTTCATGATACAGGGTGTTCGAGAAGTCACTGTGCAGTAGAATTAATTTATTTTGTTGCATGTATTTAGTACCGTACTGCATATCACATGTATTGCATCATCAAAGACATGAATTTCCACTCAATACTTCATCAAATATTAGCACCATCCCCGATTCACATAATTTACTGTCTGTAATTCCTAGCTACAGTGAGGCCTCCTACGTCATGTCGTGAATTCTATACTGCACAGTGACTTTTCGAACACCCTATACCACTGAAGTAGAACTCAGCTACTAATTTTGTAGTGTGCGTGAAGAAAGTGGAGCGGCTTTAGGATGAATGGTCTTTTCACCATACATTAAACGTATTTCCCTTCTGGCTCCAGTTTTTTTCTTTCGTTTTTGCCCCTCAGCAACACTTCTTTACTTTTTTTTTTACTTACACAGTATCAACTTAGAG